TGGTGGTGCTGCTGGTGGTGGTGCTGGTGGTGGTGCTGGTGGTGGTGCTGGTGGTGGTGCTGGTGGTGGTGCTGATGGTGGTGGTGGTGGTGGTGGTGGTGATGGTGGTGGTGGTGGTGGGGGTGGCGGTGGCGGTGGCGGTGGCGGTGGCGGTAGTGCTGGTGCTGGTGCTGGTACTGGTGCTGGTGCTGGTGCTGGTGCTGCTGGTGCTGGTGCTGGTGCTGCTGGTGCTGGTGCGGCTGGTGCTGCTGGTGCTGCTGGTGCTGCTTGTGCTGGTGCTGCTGCTGGTGCTGGTGCTGGTGCTGGTGCTGGTGCTGGTGCTGGTGTTGGTGCTGGTGCTGGCGGTGGTGGTGGAGGTGGCGGCGGCGGCGGCGGTGGTTGTGGTGGTTGTGGTTGTGGTTGATGTTGTTGATGATGTTGTTGTTGGTGTTGCTGCTGCTGCGGTTGTTGTTATTGCTGTTGATGATGCTGTGGCCAGTGTTGGGGCGGATGCGGGGGACACTGCTTGCGATGAGGGATGGTTGGGATGGGGGGGTAGGATGGGAGGGCGGGTAAAACAGGTTGCAGGTCTTACATAATTCCAGACTTCGCACTCAATCAGGCTCAGATTCTGAAAATTTCTGGGATGTTCTGCAGCTTACAGCCCTAGAACCGGTTTGTTTCCTGAACTTTGCATGAAGCAAAGCAAGGTGCAGGGACAGAGGGTTTGGGTTTGAGGGCTCGACCACAGGCCAACCCGCAATCCCTGTACCATAAAAGCACACAGCATAACAAAGTGCGGGGTGCACATCGGACAGCATGTGCTGGATGCTGTCGCTGCTGCCACCGAAGGCAGCATCTCCCCAAGTAATCCTAGAATGCTCGTCGTCCGAGCAGTTGGGGTTGCGGGTTCAGACTATAGGTATCTCACTAACAAGCAGCCATTGCCCTGTGGAGAAACTATCTATCACGCCTGTGGGGCGCATATGCTACATATACCTACATTAAGCCCCAAGACACGTGCCTGCATAATGAGCGTTTACAAGCTTTATGCTCGTTGGTTTGCCTTGACAAAAGCATGCGTTAACCTCTGCTAATATGCGATTCGTGCGCGCTGATTGCCAACCGATATGTGAAGGTTATATGTGTGTACACACCGAGTCAGCGCGATTGAATCTCGGAAACCATGCAAGGGCTACTGGACCAAGACTCTGGAGACTTTGCAGGCACTTCCTTCAACTGGGGAGTCCAAGAAGTATCGGTATTCGAACATTCCAAATTGCCAACTTCAACTGGGCGGTAGTTGAACAAGGATAGAAATTTGAAAATCCCAAATTGCCACCTGAACTAGTTCAACAGGCCCAGGTTCACACTGCCATCTTGGCGCAAGGCAGCAAAAGCTCGCATAGAGCCGCGAAGGAGCCGGATATCGTGGAGCTGTTCCTGGACTTTCCTGCTATCCCCCCCGTATGCTGCAGCGCCCCACGTCACGACCGTTCCGTCCTTTCGCAGTGCGGCGAATGCCCCTGTGCTGCCCTCTACGGACTGAACATGCTGCAGCCTGTCGGCGACTGCAGAGCTGTCTGCTCCCATCATGCGGTCTCCCCAAGTGACGACTTGCCCTCGGCAGGTGACAGCGGCGAAGGCAGCGCTGGTGGACGAAATCCGCACAATGTCAACCAGCTGCCTCTTACACTTACTGCAATCCCCACCGGAGCGTTCGTCGCCCCAGGCAACCACTGACCCATCATCTCGGATGGCTGCAAAAGCTGCATAGGAGGATTCCACGTGCTTGACATTGCGGATCTGATCTCGTGGAAGCAGGCACAGGCCTCCAAAGTTACCAGCACCCCACGTAATCACTTCGCCGTCGTTGCGAAGTGCGGCGAAGGCCGAATGCGAAGCCCTGACATCCCTGATGTCATGGAGATCATGGCTCACCTGCAGCTTCTCCTAATTTAGTGGCCGTCATATTTGGGATAGGGTTTTGGGGTATACTGTAGTGTAAACGAAAACGGACTACTACAAGGGGATATGTTTATTAACTACTCAGGCTTTAAAGATATAGTTTGAAGGAACCACTGCGCACACGCACTGATTGCAATATAAATGTTAAGTGTCAACAAGTTTATACCATGGCACGGTAACTACTTTTTCCTGTCAGAGCACTATGCACCGGTCCAATGCACAAACGGTGTTGCAACTTACACTTGCACGTGCACAAATTACGATAGAGTCCATGAGAGTTCAGTGCGCAAGTGACAGAAGCAGTTTTCGTGCTTCAATGCTTCGTTGCTTAGATGTGGGAGGTGGACGGTTTGGGGATACCTGTAATACTAGATTCGGGCCCCCTCATTCTGCGAAACTCCCATTTGAGCGGCCGTGATACGCGAAACTCATGTTGTAATTACAATTTTTGTTTGTCTGCTTATGTATCTATGTTTATATCAGCACATTAACTGCACGTATCTGCTGTGCGATTAAACCGATTTCGACGAAGATCCCACCTTCGAGCTGTCTCCGCCCTCGGAATCATCTCCCCAGGTGATCACGGTCCCGTCTTCCCGAACAGCGGCACTAGCAGCATCGCCGACACACACGTGCTTCACATGCCAGAGCTGATCCTTGACAGCACTGCTGTCGCCTCCGTACCTAGTGCTGTCTGTCATGTGAGAACATGTATAGTGAACACTTGAAAATGCAGACACGGTCTCTTGAGGACTGGGGGCGACGAAGAAAACAAACAATGGGAAATGCTGTGTTTGGAGGCTGCGCACATGGACAACCCCCAGGTGAACACGAAGCCGTCGCTCCGGCTTACCTTGGCTGCGTTCGTACATAGCTTCAAGTAAGTGGTGCAAATGTCCGCAGAACCATACTGGCTAATTGAAAGCACTGCTCACCCCCAAGTCAACATAACATAGTTTGGATGCTGCTAAAAACGAAAACCAATAGCTACCCCAAGCCTATGACCCAAAGAATACAGGACCCACACCTCTGGCCTATGTACAAACCATTCCCACAAACCCGTGCCATGTCGCTGAAGAAGCCAAGCTACCGCGAAGGCACTGCCAGCCGGGCTCGACCACACCAGGACATGGCGAGCTACGGCCGTGAGGACATCTCCCTCCTGCGAAGAGATGCCTACACATTGTTTCAGGCTTTAAGTGTGGACAGCAGGGGCAGAATGAAGTCTTGGGACTTGGGAGGTTCTCGGCCTGGACATGGCGAAGAACGAGAGTCTAACGATCAGATCAGGTGAGCACCCAGCAACGATTTCGTTGAGTGTCAAATTCTAAACCGTAAACATTAGACCAACGGTTGCGGCTGTGCTGGAGGTTGCTTTCAGCTTCAGTCGCTTAGAATCGCAGCAGGGCCACATGGTCTGATGGTAACCACTATACTTATACGTAGCCTCCTCGGCCCAAAGAAAGCCGAACACGAGCAACGCATTGAAATCTAGGAGCCGATGCGCGTATTTGGGTTCTCTATACCAGGACCTTCCTAGGACCACGTATTTGAAGAACTTGCTCATGCGGTCTACTGGACGCCAAGAGCCACGTGCCCAAAGTCTGCCACATCAAAGATGCTAGATTCTTGCTGCGCGGCTTTAGACTACAAAAGGGTGCAAGTTTGAGGCAGCACAGGACTTATTTGACCCGTATTATGCCTCCCGCCACACAAGAGTACCGCCTATAGAGTTGCAACCCTCTACAGTTTGCACCACATTGGGTGTTTAGTTTCGCTGAAGCCTTTCTTGCGACTTTGATTTGCTCTCTGTCTTTGTGTTGCCCGCGACACGGCTTTCAAGCATCGGAAACGAAGGGGCACTCGCTTCGCTTGACCCGTGCCTTTGTTGTCTGTGGGGTATTGGGTACAACTTGCTACTGCATTCGAAGCCCCCAGAGCCATAGACTATAAACCTAAACCCTACATCCAAGGCCCTGTGCCCCATCTTAAGTTCTCAGAGGTGGGGGGTTGCCGTATTCAGGATTTCTTGCAGCAAGGGTCCTGATTTTCAGATCTAGCTTATGATCCCCAATCATTCTGAAACTTTCATTTCAACTTGCCAGAGCCCTTAAACCCCAGGCTCCCATTTCGCCCCCAGTCCTGCAGGCCACTCTCGCCAACAGTCGACTCGTCAAGCAAAACCTCCGGGGCCACTCTCTAGGCGCCTTAATCAATCGTTGGAGTAGGGCTTATGCTCTCGAGGGTTTAGGGTTAAGGGGTTTTTTAGTAAAAATAGGGTCCTTTTAGGTTTCTTTCAGCGGGCGTTTAGAATGTAGCGGGCCTGAGTGGTTAGAAGAGGGTTTTGGAGTGCATTATACGTACAGTCGCAGCCTTGAGGAATCATAAGAACAGGGTTGTGGAGTATATTAACCTATGCTGCTTCAAATAGGAGGTTTAGGGAAGTAAGAGTAGGGTTTTGGAGTATATTACACTATGTTTCCAAGGGGAATACTTGGGGAATGATGTTGGTTTTTATTCAAGCTGCTATATTACGACCAATGCGATGACGAGGGCCGGGTCAAGAGCCTTTATCAGTTGCTACACGGGTTACTGTAAATCAGCTCCTGCGGGGTTTAGGGGTTTAGGGTAGGGCTTCCTGTTAGGGTTTAGAAACAAGGGTCCGAAAGAGCTCAAACTATACAGCCCTACAGCCCGAAATGGCTAAAATCCAAAAGTCCTAAATCCGAAATACCCAAACTCCTACACTCCTGAACCCTAAAGCGCTATACCGCACTCAAGACTACGGCACACCCCAAACTTCAGATCTTCGGGCCGAGCGAGATCTCGGAGTCTCGGGCCGGGGCTTTGCGGTTTTAGGGCTTAGGGTTGTTTTGCCTCCCACCTAGCGAGGACGAAGCCCGCATTGCAGGGTACAGTCGGAAGTACAGGTGAGTCGTAATGCAAGCATCATCTGGCTTGACATCATCTGGAAAGGAAAGCTATACAAGCTGAAGGTTCCCACATCACACTCACAAGCATGCTGTCTGTTGCTACTGTTCAGCTCGGGACAAAGTGTGCACAAAGGCGAAAGGGTACACAGCGAGACTAGTCTGGCGCCTTTGTTCTCAACAAGGCTTCCTCACTCATTGAAGTATTCCCCAAGTCAGAATTATTCACCGGCAACGATTTGCAGAAGAGTTCGATCTGTTCGGTCTGTTGTTCCAGTATCTTCGTCTACAGGTCCCAATACAGAGACAAGGTAAGAAAGACGCGTTCAGAGGCACAAGCCATCCCATCCAAGCACGCCAACTGTATAGGTAATACCGGCTGTCAGGTTCGCTACGACCAGTTGGGGAGCGCTCCGAAAGACAGCAACAGATTGTACTCATCATGAACCAACGTGGCACAAACTTTGGTCCCCCAAACATCAGCAGGCAAAAGTAGCTTCAACCACCAGCTCATCCCATTTTCAGAGTTTCTGTAGCTTCAGCTGTTGTTGCCCAGGGTTTCCCCGAAGTGTGTCTGTCTGCTCTAGAAGTGCTTCTCAGTCATCAATCGGTCGGATGCTGCGTCAGCCGCAAACTCGACTGGCAGTACAGAGCTTCCACAAATCCAGCCATCGAAAGTGGGGGAGCTTGCAAGCTGCCTGTAGGCCCAGAGAAAATGCAGACCAAGCCATCCAGAGTCTCATCAAGTCACACGGCCATGAGGGCCATGACGCAAGGCAAGTGACGTCACCGAAAGGAAGACATCGCGAACAGCTCTAACCCAAGGTGGTCCATGGAAACATGTCACATGTCATCCCTGAAGCAGCAGAGCGGTGACATCGGTGGCGGAGACGTTCGTGGGAGTGGAAGTTCAGGAGGCGGATCTTGAGCGAGTGGCCGGTGTCCGGACGCAGTGTAGGCCTTGACTTGTGGGGCCTGGTGACGATACGACGCAGAACGAGATGAAAGTGAGAGCCTGATGATGATGAACTGGTCTCGAAGACACGAGGCAGGCATGAATTCCTAACTAAGCACAAGCATCACAAGCGTCAAATTAAGAACTCAAGAATTCAGGGCATGCACTAGTAGGTACGCACGAGAACTGTGAGAAGCATGCACATGCTGCTAAGGCATTCCCTCAAGTTGTGTGCATATGCAAAAGTGCGTGCGAAGGCATTGTATGGACGCGATAACCAGCATGAACAGCAGTGCATGTAGATTTGAGCTGCCGAAGCATCCACACAGGTCTGGATGAGTGCTCATCTCTCTCGGCCTGGCTGGTGCGCATCCTCCACAAAGTCTTTTATCCCAGTGCTTGGTCAGTCGTTCGAGCTCGCTAGCCGCTAGCCTTATAATTCATGGCCGGCTTGAGCCTGAACAGCCTGGATGACTGGCGTCGCCGCCACTGCAGGCTTCGACTCAGGAGGTTCAGCGTTTAGGGTATGGAGGGCTTCGGCGTTGTAGTGGTTTGGGGGTTTTAGGGCTTGAAGGTTTTACGGTGCTTGGGTTTATGGCTTGTTTATTTGATGCCAGGCGCCGGGGCAGGCAGTATAGTGGCGAATGTTTTAAAGAGGGTATGGCGGGGAGGGGGTATGTCTTGACACGCATAGATCGATCGGGAAAAGATTCATATTCAGACCCCATATTAGTGGCAAAGCTCGCCATGCAAATGCCACCCAGCTTCCTGGAGCCCTAAATTCTGAGCACGAAATCAAAATTCTCACCGCCAACATATCATGAGACACCAAACTCAATGCCAGCGCGTGCTGGCTTTGATGCTTTGCCCACCTTCCTCTCGGGGTGAACCAGGCCTTGCAGCTCAACAACCGGGCCAGCATTCATTTAGTGTCCCAGCAGGGTCCTTTACAGTCCCAGCCTCACATCTAGATCTGCAAATTTCTCTACTTCTCCGAGCCTTGGAATGGAAACTTGTGAGAGCATATTCTCGACTCCATTTCAATATCAACATCATGAAAAGATTCAAGGCTTTGGTATGTTCCTCCAATTCCCGGCTTCCCGCACCCGTAAGGTCCAGGATTTCGGGTTGGGAAGTCTTCGCGACGCCAAAACTCCAAACCTGATCAGCCTAAAATCCCTTCTCCTAGCTGTAGACCATTAAGAAGCTCCTCAACACCAAATAGGCTTAATCTAGAGACCATAATAATTAGAATAAGCTTGTGGGGTATATTGTATTACAATTATGATAGGGAACCCCCCCCCCGAATAGCATAGGTAATTATTTAGGCCACTATGCCAAGCCCCATGCTTGATCTTTCATGCCTGGAGCTTTCAAACAGTTGATGGGACAACCAAGGAGCCCCCTTGAAGTCCACCTACATCTTAGTCTTTGGACATGAGGATATGGCCCATCAGGCTGAGAGTGAAGCGCACAGGTTACAGAGGGTAGGGCTGGGTTAGGATGAAGGCTGCTTTTGGTCTGGTTTTTGTCTTGCTCATCGGGTTGAAGCTTCAAGAAATTGGGGGATTTAGCAGTGGCTCCTGCTCCCGATGAGCACCTAACTGCTAAACCCTTTGCCGGGGCCGCCATTGTTCTACTAGAATGGGGTTTCGGGGTGCACTATGCTTACTGGAAATACTAGAAAGGATCGTGAAGGAACAATACCACGCACAGTTGGTCCGGCCCACTAAAACCCTAAACTAGCCGTAAACCAAAACCGGCTTCTTGTCACGGAATTTAATTGGAGTTAGCACACTAGGGATCTATGCAAATAATCTGGTCAAGTTCCCTGACAAGAGCCCTAAACCCTAAACCCGGAGAAAAGCAGCCCAGAAGCTTCGGATACCCGTCTGAAGGGCTCTTTGCGCTTGCAGCTTGAGATCCCTGCTCCGCGAGGAGGGTTCGGGGTTTAGGGCTGAGCAGGGGGAGGAGATAGCTTGAAGAGTTCATGATGGTATAAGTAGGCTGAAAGAAGTAGCTTTTTATTGCCCTGGGGTTTAAGCATTTTTTCGTTAGTCAGACGAGTACTCCGATAAGAAACAATGAACACACAACTAGTATAGTACGTCATACACGCCACTCTATAAATGATATGCAAGAACAAGCATGGTATCAAGCATGCACCCCTGATTCTTAAGGAGCAGGCTTCGATCTCGCAAGATTCGGGCTGATCTGGGTGTGTTGTGAGACGCGGGTATGAGTAGCAGCTAAGCCGCAAGTGGCATGCGCGAAGGGGTTGCAGAACAGTAGTTTTCAGCGGTTACGACTTCAGATGAGGACAGAGTGCAGCTGCTCGGAACCATCGTTTCGGCCCGAAGTCGTAAGGTTGCAGCCTTCATGGCTCTCGGTCTCGCATCTATGGTTCCATTGCCCTGGTTGAGAATTGGCTGCCAGTAGCATTGCAATGATTACCTTCCTCGATTTCATATCCCCATCAGGCTTAGACTGGCATCCTGAAATCCGCAAGTACCTTTCTCCCTCCCTGATCTCCTGATTTTGGTGTCCGTGGTGGCCGGCAGCACAGCAAGCTGGCCGCTGAGAAGGGTCACCGAAACGGACAAAGCCATGGCCGAAAAAAACAGTGGCGTGCGAGGCAGGGCTACAATGGGCTATTGGGAGAGCAGGAATAACAAGTTCCAGCCCCACACAACAGGAATTCCCCAAAGATCTGACTCCTAATTAAACCTTGGAACCAACCGTTGTACCATCGGCACAGCATTTCTCCCTGAATACTAGGAAGGTTTAATATCAGAAGCCCTATATGCTGAAAGCCAAGAACGCCCTTTGAGTTCGACCCGGTTGCTGAGTTTGCTTGGGTCTTTGGGTTAGGGTTTAAAGTTTAGGGCTTTGAACTAGAGCTTCAGAGGCTGGAGGTGAGAGCACAACAGCTGTGGAAGAGGGCAGCTAGACAAAACGAAGCAGAACTCCGAAGATGTGTCGGTCAGACCTTGCCCTTGTACACTTTGATGCTGGGGGCTCTGGGCTGTAATTAGAGGGTCATGCGACCCGATGCCAAGTCTATTCGGCCCAGAAAATGCTAAGAACCCCGAACTCACCCAAAACCCTTCCCGCAGGCGGATAAGGCTCTGCTGGCCCTGCAAAACCACACAGCAGAACAACCAAGACCGAGCAGCTTAACTTGTAGATATCTCAATCTCACACCGAAGAAGCAAACTCTGAACACCCAAGGCCCCAAGTCCCAAACCTTAAACCCTAAACGTTTGAAGATACGGGGGGCCCCGACCCGCGGCCGAGATCAGTGGAGCCGCGCAGACTAATGCAGGGGTCTCATCAAACTGAGAAGTGAACTTGTGAAGAGGGTGCAATTGGCGTACTGAGCCTCTTTGTTTTTTTTTGTTGCTTTTGTGCGTGGGTGGGTGTTTGCACGGGTCTTAATGTGACTTGCATAAGGTCTTGGGGCATATTCTAGCGGAAATCTTTCGATCTATGCATAAGGTAGATAAGCGGATACTATTCCGAGCATTTTCAACTCATGTAACTTTCAAAAACCCGTACAAAGTCCTTGCGGCACAAGCATCCAGCCTCCGAGCAAAGCCCAAAGAGCCCAACGAAGCTTGAAATGACATTCAGCATTCGGGGTAGCGGGAGAATCAGTGGGTGGTAGAGTGTCTCAGCCACTATGACTGAAGCTCTTGAGATCCAGACTCCACAGTGCCAGAGCCGGAACGGTGTCGTGTCATGGAGCGGTCGAGGTACCTAATCAAGGCCCGGGGATGGGCCTGGGATGATGCTTTCAAGTTGTTGAGGGCAGTTAGGGCCTCCAGAATAAAGTTCAAGACAGTAGAGTTTAGTCTGGGCCTTGGCAGATTTGAACCGATCCAATGACCATCCCAGTCATTTTCGGGCTTGAGATGTGGAATCTGGCTGGCTGCCGCAGACTCCAGGGTTCAGTCAGTTTGACAAATTTGAGTGGTCGTAGTGATTTAGGAGACATTGCTTCCGCCTCACTCTCACACTCTCACTCACTCAATCCCTCCCTCCCTCACTCCCTCATTCCCTCACCCCCTCACTCCCTCACTCTCTCACTCTCTGACTCACTCTCTCACTCACTCGCTCACTCACTCAATCAATCACTCCCCCGCTCGCTCACTCACTCACTCACTCACTCACTCGCTCGCTCGCTCGCTCACTCACTTCACTCATTCCACTCACTCCACTCACTCCACTCACTCCACTCAACCCCACGCACTCCACTCCACTCCACTCAACTCAACTCCACTCCACTCCACTCCACTCACTCACTGACTCATTCACTCAGTCACTCAGTCACTCACTCACGCACTCACTCTCTCTCTCTCTCTCTCGATCGCTCGCTCTGCCAGGCATTCGAAACGTCAAGACTGAAGATTGCGTCAGCCTAACCTCTAAAACCCTCCAAACCCGAAATTCCTAAACCCCAGGGCCCCAAATTCCTACACCTTAGAGCCCAACTTGAAAACATCCTACACCCGGACTACCACTTGCATAAACTAGTGGCCTTTCGGCTCCGATGTGGTGCCCGTTTGCCCGTTTGACGAAAGATTGACAGTTCAGGGTCCGAGGTAGACAGATCATTCATCTAGACTTAGGTTTCCTGGCTCCTGTTGTTGGTGCTATGTCAAAAATGATCATTTTTCATCCATATTAGGTTTTACTATAACAAACATGTACTGTAAAGGTGTATCCAACAAGGACCCAGTTTTAGGATTGAAGGCTCCAGTCCACCTGTACCATTTTTTGTGTCGCCAAGGTGCACGTCAGAGAAGGTTCTCAAGTACTCTGCCGCACCTGCACCCCAAAACCCAGCCCGTGAAAGCCAGGGTTTCCAACCCAGGTGCTAGTCACCGGCCCTTTTACCAGGACTCTACGCTGAACCCAAATCCTAAGTGTAGCAGCCTAGTCCCGCGGCGGCTCGTGGAGTCAGATGTCTTTGCCCCCAAGGTTGGCGGTTTGGTTGGGCCCTAAAGCCTAAACTCTGCATCCCTTCACTCCAAATCTTTTCATGCTCCTGTCGCCGGGGTTGCCTCTACCCTCCCTGGAAAACCCTGTAGCACCCATAAGCCTCATAGGGCCATGGGGCGCCTGTTACCAGTCACTTCTGCTCTTTCAGACAAGGCTTGAAGGCTTGGTGGTATACGAGTCAGGGACAGTCAGGGCGCCAAGCAGGAGTTTCGCAGGACTAGGGACACACAACTTGGGCTGCAGAGGATGGATTCTTCAGGGTAGTATATGGGTTTTAAGTGGCAAGCTCTAGCGCTTCAAAAAGCATCCTAGGTTCTGCTTCTATGTGGGATTTCATACGGTTACGAAAACCTTGATTAAGGTCCGCCCTATATACTGAATCAAGGTTCGTTTTGGGGGTCGACATTAGCGGCAATTAAACAACACAGGCACCTGCAAATCCTCGCTCGCTGAACCCCAATACCTTAAAGCCCGCAGCCATACCAACCCTATCTTCGGCAGCTTGGGATGTACTGAAAGCCCAGCAGCGTTCTTTTGCTTTGGCAACGTGGTTGTTTTGCACGATGTTGCTGAGTATGATCGTCTGCGTGACCTGGAGGCCAGCAATTCGGTGATTCAGGGTCAAACCCAAGTCTGTCAGATCGCACATGCCCCAGCTTCGTCTCTGCATGCCAACTGACCCAACGCAATCGAAAGAGAAAACACACACACACACAGAGACACACACACACACACACCTCACCTTGCGGCACAACGCTTACAGAACCCGCAATAAGCGAAGCCCTGATCACCTAATTGCCTCAGGGCTTAATGCTTCGAGTGCGTTCGTTCTGTTTATGGAGTTCAAGCTAAATGAGGGTGTGGCGTTCAGGGTTCAGCTTCGCTTCTCCCGAAACAGTCTGCGCCTGGTTCGGTGCGCTGGGGTTCGGATGCAGCTCGATCCAATAGATCTCGGTGGCTCTGTGCATCCGAAGGCTTGGAAGGTCTTGGGGCTTGGGCTTCACCCCTAAACAGATTGGGTTGTTCTCCCTCTCCCTCTTTGTCTCTCTTCTTTCTCTCTCTCTCTCTCTCTCTCTCTCTCTCTCTCTGTCTCGCTCTCTTCACTCACGGACTTACTCACTCACTGCTCTCTGTCTCTCACTCTCTCACTCTCTCTCTCTCCCCCCCCCCTCCCTCCACACACTCACACCCAGAGCTGCCTACAGAAACCCTGTAGAAAACCTATACATACAAGGCAAAGACTTGTGTAGACAACTTCTTAACACCCTAAACCCCAATGATTCACTTATCTGGGTTAGGGTCTGAGTATGTCCAGAAAGCCAAACCCATGACGTGGAGCAGTCAAAGCCAACCTAAACCAACTGCTGTCGAATGCGGGGAACGGCTTGCAGCCTCAGGCTCAGCAGGCGGCCCTAAACCCAAACGAAGCTTCTGCGACGACTGCACAAGGGTTTTCGAGCTCTCTGCCCAAGGCTTCTTGGACGAGTTCAGAACTGATACACAGTTTGGTCTCAAAAAGCAGACAAAACGACGTAGGAAGACAAGCCGAGGCGCCAAAGACGCATCTTTGCTGATCGAGAGTTCCTCCTGGGCTGCGGGTTGATGGACTCTATAATGGAGTTAGCTGGCAGGCAAGGATCAGGCGCAGCACACGATGGCAGAGCCCCAATTGCCAAAACAAATCCTGTGGAAGCGACCCCCTACGATGTCGTGAACAGCTAGTCCTTGGCTGCAGCCGCAAAGCAGAGAAGCCAAAGAGGCATAAAGTTCAAGATTTACAGTTGATAGCTTTTAGAGTTTGTGTGTTTCAGTTCAGGTTGTAAGGTGAGTCGTAGTTCAGTTCAACCAAAACCTGACTACAGAAAGCCCAAACTCAAGAGTCCTAAGGTTCGAGTCCCTCTGCCTCAGGAACCGCGGATGATTGAGTTTTTGCGACGTTTGCTTTGTGTGTGTGTGTGTGCGTGCGGGGGTTGTTGTTGTTGCTGCTGGGAGTGCTGGTGCTGTTGCTGCTGGATTTTGGCTCCCGCATGGCAGTCTCCGGTGCTGCTGTTGCTGTTGTTGTTGCTGCTGCATTTGCGGCCGAAGATCTCCAGAGACGTATGTTTGACACCAGGTAGTCCGTATGTCAGTTTGCTTGTTATGCCTGTGCATGTATGTATGTATGCATGCAAGCATGTATGTATGTAGTTAGGTACCTAGGTAGGACTTATGTAGGTACGTAGCTACGTGGTTAAGTAGGCCGGTAGGTAGTCGGGTAGCAGGTTGGTGGGGGTAGGTGGTAGGTAGGCAGGCAGGCAGGCAGTCAGGCAGGTAGTTAGGTAGGTAGGCCTTCGCCGTACTATCTGTACATATACGTATTATGTAGCATAAACATCCACATCCTTTGCATACATATGATACTGCATATGTACACACGGTCAGGGACATCCTGTTGGACCCGCAGACATCTTTTATTGTACATTTTAGGCACTCACGCTCGACGAGGTCAGAGACATTCCAAGGCTCTATTCGGGCCCAATTGCCAACTGTAAACTCCAGCTCATGCCTGGCCACATGCTTAACTTGCATGACTCCGCTGTTCGTTTTAGTGCAAACATATTTCAAC